TCTGTAGATTGCGGCGCATAATTTGAAGACTCCGATTTATTGAAAAAAATGAAGAAGGCGAGCTTCAGCAAAAACAACAGCATTTGTTTTTCACGGTATGCATTCATTATTTATTTTTAATCAAAAAAACTTGGTTCAAATCTTTTTTTTTAACATTATCTTTAATATGAACACAACATATGTCGGGAGTTTGGGATCCCTTTAACATTTTAAGTTGAAAGTATTTTATATAAGTCATTTCATATCTAAGAAAGTTTTATTTTAATAAAGTAGTTTGATTTTTTAAATATTTAATTTTGTTCAAAGTTCTTACCTTTGTTACTTTAACCATTCACACAAAAGATTCATATCAGTATTTCTTGGTTAAAAAAAGTTATTGTTGATAGTTATTTGTTGTTTAAAGAAATGATTAGAATATGGTTATGTTACCAATTATACTCTATTTTACGTGGATAAAATTGTTACATATTTTTTCATAAGTTTATCTAATAGATTATTTTTATTATTTATTTTTATAAAATAATGAACACTTTGTTTAAAAAATATATATATTTTCTTTCAAAATAATAAAAAGTATATATATTTTTTAAATCTGCACAATAATTAATATAATACTCCCCATACCCACACCAGTGACTTGGTGGCAACAACTAAGTAAGTACTGGATATTTTACAATAAAGAGACATGGAAAAGTTATGAAATTTCTTTTTCAAATTTGAGTGCCCAACCTGTGTTATTACCTTTTTTTTTTTTTTTTTTTGTAACACATTGTTGTATCATAAAACCATTGAGACAATGTCACAAAACTGGTTGTTTCAAAAGCAAAGGCTGAACTGGATGACTACAGGTAACTACTCAAAAGGCAGATAACTGCATTCATTGTTATAATTTAAATTCTGCTCGACAAACTTCACGAACGAACCCTTACATCATCATGTAATAAATTGTGTCATCAAAAGAAATTTTTTGAAAATAGATCTTTAAAAGGTTTTAAAACAAATGTTTTTAAACAGGTTTTAAAAATAACAAACAAGAGATCATAAATTTTATATTTCAACTGTTTCCTATTGTGAGTTCAATTTTATAATTAATAGTAATTTATTTTATACATAAATCGCATAGCGAAATAAAGTTATAACCACAGTCTCAGCAAAAACAACAACAAATGTCATTTAATTATAGAGTAATATTATTAGCAAGCGATTGCACGCGTGACATCGAGGAATACCAGTAAAAAAGTAAAAAACTTTAGCCAATTCAGTTAATATAAAATACCAAACAAAAAAAAGAAAAATAATAACTAAAAGACTTTCCGTAATAACTGTAATTGATCAAAAGGTATCTGACATAACCTTCTCGATGTTTTTGTTGACAAAATACATGTATTACTTAAAGTTGAGTTTACGGTAAGACTTAATAAGTTATTTAACTTTTTAGCCTTAACTTTTTAGGGTGAAACTTTTAAAGAAATAGCATTTGCGAGTGTTAAACCAAAAAAGTTTGTTATTATTTTGGATCTTTTAGATTAGTTCTTTATTTCTTGCTAACTTTTTAATATAATATTTGCTGTTGTTGGAATGCATTGCAAAAAACTATTTGCAAGTTGCCAAAAAAATCCCTAAAATCACTTTAAATATCCCGATTCTCATGATGTTTTTTTCAAGAAACCAATTTTCGCAGTTATGCAATTGCGTTTTTATACCAATAATGGTATAAATTTAATTTCATGTTTTACATATATTTAATTTCATGTTTTACGCAATTAATGAATTAGAATTTTTTGTTATTTTTCTATTACTTTTGAATAATAATTAATTTTAAATTATTTTTAGAATTATTATTAAACTTTAATTTGGAAACTTTATTTGGAGAATGGGTTTTTTCATCTTTAAATTGGGAATTTTTATTTTATGAGCATTTGGGAAAAACGCGTTCGACGGGGTGCCACAGGGCTAGTTTACACCCTGATAATATAGGTAATTTTAATTAACATAAAAAATATATAATTTTTTATTTCTAAATTTTCCTAATATAAAATGTTTCAGTTAGAAACTTGTCATACCAACAAATTACTTTATGACATATTTTATTTTGTGAACAAAAAAGCGTCAGAACTTTAGTAAATGCATGTAGTTATAACTTAAGTTACACAAATTTAAAACAAAAATGTGCTTTAACTAAGCATCATTATTCAAAACTTTGAATGTAAAAGCTTAACATTTAATATATATAAATTGGCATATATATATATATATATATATATATATATATATATATATATATATATATATATATATATACAGCGCTCGAAATAGTTTTTCAAAACTTGCCGATTAAATGTTTTTTTTTGACAAAAACAGCTTATTTTCCCTTGAATTTTTCTAAATTTCCCTAAAAATAGCCGATCATTGATCGTTGATCGGCTGTTATTTCGAGCGCTGTATATATATATATATATTATATATATATATATATATATATATATATATATATACATATACATATATATATATATATATATATATATATATATATATATATATATATATATATATATATATATATATATACATATATATATATCAGATCAGAATATATATATATATATATACATATACATATATATATATATATATATATATATATATATATATATATATATATATATATATATATATATATATATGTATATATATATATATATACATATAGATCAGAAAACGTTTGAGTTTAACAGCTTCTAGAGTCATTTCGATGTTAGACGTGTAGAAACCAGCCTTTCCAGATAGCTTGTTATTGCTCAACAAAAAATAAAACTTGTCGTCGATGATCATCTACTTTTTCCGGAAAACTCAGGCCGGGTGGGCACACTTTGGACGAACGGCTGACTTCTGTTGTGAAGTTCAGTCTAAAACTTTTTTCGTCTTTATGTATTTGATTGTTGTCTTGGTGCTAATTGTTTTTTGATATGTGCTTTTGGCTGATACTATACTCGCGGGCTAGCTGACGCTGGCTAACTCTCTCACTATGATCGATTTGCTTTTACAGCATGGTGGTTTGTTTTTTGTTCATCTTGGTTGCCACTCATCCAGTTCCACGCTGTCTTTTAGGGCCTATTTTGAGCATCTTGCGCTGCAGAATATTATACAGGGTTGACCTTGATGCGCCTTCGATCATGAAGTGTCTCACAATCTTACTTTTCTTCAAACGCGTACACGTACTTTCTGAGGTTTTCCTGTTTTGAGATATTTTTCTTTGCCATTATAAATAATTGTTTGCTAAAAGATATTGCTATTTGTAGAGAATTAAATTTACTACAACATACTTAAATTGCAATTATTTTATACAATTTATGTTGACTGAACTTTTGTCCGGATTTCTAGGTATCACATGTTAACTACCTTTTTTGTTCTGGATAATTTTTTTGACAAATACTTTGGTTTGGCAAATTAACAAAAAAATTTACTTTTAGGGAAGGTGTGTCTTTCCATAAAGTAATATATCTATCAACACTCTGTCAATTGTTAACTTGCTCTTTAAACTTTATATTTTCTCTTCCAGTAACTTCCAACTCTAATAGTGGTTGCTAGCAGACTTGTTGGAAGTAAGGATGTTAAAGAAAAAAAAAAAACTTATAATATTTTTTTATAAGTTTTTTTTTTCTTTAACATCCTTACTTCCTTAATTTAACCTTACAATTCAATCAAAGCAGTTCCCATGAATTTACAATTTAGGTGTTAGAAAAATGTGTTTAAAAAAAAAAAGAAGACAATTAAAAAGCTTTTCTTCTTTTAAGTTGTAAATTATTATAACTTAAAAGTAAAAAAGTCTTTAAGGAATAGAAAATAAAAAAATCTCTATATAAAAAAAAGTTAAAATTCGAAATAGAGTTTTTTCTTTTTTACTTTATTTAAAACATAGTATAAAAAGTGTTTGCTATTGTATTATACATTGTTATTAAAATTTTTTTAAAAAATCTTTTTATACTATTATATAATTGTATAAAAAGATTTAAGAAATAAAATATAAAGTGTTTTTATTTGATAAAGTAGTTGCATAAACATACTTTGTAAAGTATTTTTATGTAATTACTTTATCAAATAAATTAATAAATTATTTAAAGTTATTGTTCACAATAAACTTGTTTTATAAAATTTATTAGAGAATATTATATAAAAAACTTTATTTATATAAATATATATTTTTTATGATTATTTTAAGTCTTTTCAAACTTCTATAATTAATTTTATAAGCATCATTCAATTCTAAAAAACTAAGGCGCAAAAACGTTAAATAATGTAACTCAATTTAAATAGCTAAATAAAAAGTACTGGCTTCTATAAGTAACTAAAACATTAACATTTTTATAAAATAACTTAGAAAGAAGTCTTAAAAGCTAAAATTGTTGTTGATATTTGTATGAACTATCAAACAAAAAATTAAATAAATACTAAAATATAAATTTATATAATAATAATTGTATTGTTTAGATATAAATGTTTTCGTAATAATATAAATGATATTATCTTATCGTAATTAGTATATATGATATCATAATTTTTAAAAATTTTATTGTTTTAATATAAATGATAAAAGCAAGGTTATTTAATTCGAAAATCTTTAACAGATTAGCATATTTTAAAAAATGAATAATCTATAAAAAATGATGCACTTTATTAGCATAACTGTGTAGTCTATTTTATTTTCTGTTTTGTATAAAATATAAAAAGTTTGAAAAATGAAGTTTATATTCAATACCAAATTTACTAATAGTTTTGAAACACCTAAAATAATTACAAAATGAATGCATACATAATATGAATCTGAAAAAAATGACTGGTAGATGATGTTTTTTACCAGACAATGTGTGACAATTTAAGCCTATATATTTATATTTATATGTGTGTGAGTGTCTGTAAAAATTACAGTAAAAAATTCAAAGCTTCAAGCTTTGTAAATAAATTTACAAATTTATTGTATTACTTATCTTATTTTTTAGATATTCATCAATGCAAAATGTGTGGTGTCTGTTTTACTGCAGAAATTTATTTGATTTCGCACATAAGACATTGTAAAATAAAAAATAGGAACTTTGGTATTAATAAACTTAAAAATGGAGCTGACATTAAAATAACAGAAGAAAATATTAAAATATCTGAAGACAACATGGAAAATTTAGTTAGTTGTTCTAACAGCAAAAGTAAGGTAAACAATAATATAACAACACATGTAAAAATTTGCTCTGGTGGGAAACCATTCAAATGCACTTACTGCCATTATGAATGCACACAAAAAACTAATTTAACAACACATTTAAGAATTCACACTGGTGAGAAACCATTCAAATGCACTTACTGCGATTATGAATGCACAAATAAATATAATTTAGTAAGACACGTTAAACTTCACACTGGTGAGAAACCATTCAAATGCACTTACTGCGATTATAAATGCACACAAAAAACTAATTTAACAACACATTTGAAAATTCACACTGGTGAGAAACCATTCAAATGCACTTACTGCGATTATAAATGCACACAAAAAAGTGATTTAACAAAACATTTAAAAATTCACACTGGTGAGAAACCTTTCAAATGCACTTACTGCGATTATGAATGCACACAAAAAACTAATTTAACAACACATTTGAAAATTCACACTGGTGAGAAACCATTCAAATGCACTTACTGCGATTATAAATGCACACAAAAAAGTTATTTAACAAAACATTTAAAAATTCACACTGGTGAGAAACCTTTCAAATGCACTTACTGCGATTATGAATGCACACAAAAAACTCATTTAACAACACATTTGAAAATTCACACTGGTGAGAAATTGTTCAAATGCATTTAATGCAATTATGAATGCACACAAAAAAGTAGTTTAACACTACATGTGACAAATTCACACTGGTAAGAAACCATTTTAATGTACTTTGCACACAAAAAATTAGTTCATCAGACATGCAAATTAGCAACTGGTGAGAAACTTTTAATATGTACTTAGTGTGAAAAAAAAATGTCAATATTTATACTGATTAAAAGCAAATTTAGTTTTTACCTTAAGTTTGTGCTGTATTAATTGGTTTAACTAAATTTTGTGATGTGCATAAACAGGGCCTGAAATAACAAACTTTTTTCTACCGAACTATTTGTCCAGTAAAGAATCAAGTTTGCTGGACATGTACAATAAAAACTAAAGTGCAATCTAACGTCAATCCTGAACACGTCTTAAATGTAAAGGAAAATTTATAAGATAAATTTTGTAGAAATGCTTTGTAAATTGTTAAATACATAAATTATTACATAAATATATTAAATACATAAATTATGTAATTATTAAATACATAATTTAATATGTAATATATATGTACAATAAATAAAAAGTTATTAAATGCATCAATTACTATGTAAATATATATTAAATACATAAATTATTAGGTTATTACTTTATTAAATGTTACTTATTACTTATTATTTTATAAATAAAAGGTTAATATTTACAATAATATATTTATAATAATGTAGTTTTGTGTGTATACATACTTTTTATATACTGTGCATTAAGTTATGATATGATTTGTGTTTACTTTATTACAATTTTCTTTTTAAAATTGTTTTTAAAGTGGCGTCTTTATTTATTTGACTTTTTTTTTTTTTTTTTTTTTTTTTTTGTATAATATTTTATCTGTTTTGTATTATATTTTATCTGTTTGATACTCCAGGATTTTCAACAAGAAAGTGCAACATTTTTTCTTGCTTCTTGTTAGGGATGTACTGGAATTCCGTTCTGGCTGGAACTTGTGACTTTTAGGTCATTCCAGTTCCGTCCGGAATCATAATGTTTCAGGTCGGAATCCTGGAATTACTTTATTACTTGATTACTTTATTTATTTAAGACATGTGACACAGACTGTGTAAATTAAATAAAAAAATCATTGTCCTACAGGTCAATGAAGAACTATGGGTAAACTTAGGTAAAAAAATACAAAATTCTTAACAAATACAATATAATTAATGGTAAAGCTACAGTTTAGCTGTAAAATTGTTTTTATTTGTTGCGCTCTTGTTTTTGGAGAGTTTTAAAACAAAAATTTTAATTGAAATAATAAAAGAGAAAAGATTGATTCCCTATGCCAAATCCACAGTCAAGGAAGTAGCACTTCTTAATAGAAGCAGACTATAAGATAGTTGATGTAGCAACACTTCCTTGTAGCAGCAGGCTATAATGTATGTACTAAAGCCAATAAATATTCTTTATGTTTATGTTAAAAAGTCACCACTTTGAGCAAGTCTTCCCCCAAAAGTACAACAAGCCATAAAATAAAATGATTTTAGACCACGTATCTGTAACTTTGCCTAGTTTTATTTGCAGTAATCACTTATGTAAAGATTTTAAATGTTTAGGAATATTATTATGCAAAAGGAGTTGCAATCCAGTTTTGGGCATCAAACTAGTTGTTTTTTTTCATCAAAAATGATACCTACATCTGA